TCTTGAGTGCTGGAATTATAGGCCTGTGCCACCTGGCCAGGTTTTATGAGGTTCTGGGAATTGAATCTAGGGCTTCATGAATGCTTAGCAAGCATTCTACCAACTGAGCTATATCGCCAGCCCCAAGGCTTTACTTTTAAGGACATGTACCTACATGGTTTTCAGTTGCTTCTCATACTTTTGGTATCATACTTAATAATTTAGTCTCAAGTTTGAGATCATGAAGGTTTACTTCCATGTTTTCTCCTGAAATACCTATGGTTTTTGGCTATAACATTTAGGTCTCTGATACATTTAAGGTTAGTTATTTAATTTTATTTGGCTGTAACATTTAGGTCTCTGATACATTTAAGGTTAGTTATTTAATATGTTAACTGACATCTGCAGTGTGTTAACAGCATCTTCGAAGAGAATAAATCTCAGTTCTAACCTTTGATAGCTGTGAATATGACCTTAATTGGAAGGGGTGCTCTATGGATGTAATTAACGATTTTTGTGTATGTGCATGTGTGGGGGGGCTCTTTTTGAGACTGGTCTCCCTTGTAGTCCCAGCAGGCCTGGAACTCACCATGTAGACCAGGTTGGCCTTGATCTCTCAGAGATCTGCCTGTGCCTGCCTCCCAATGCTGGGATTATAGGTGTGGGCCACCATACCTGGCCCATAATTAAGGATTTTGAGATGAGATCACCCTGGATTTATGCGGCCGTCAAGCCAATGTCTGGTGTCCTTTTAAGAGAAAGGAGCAGGAAAGCTCCATAGGACAGAAAAGAAGGTCATGTGACAATAGAGACTGGAGATATGCTGCTGCAAGCAAAGAAATGCTAAGAGCCTGCAAAAAAGCAGGGGAGATGAGGGAAGACTCTTCCAGAGCCTTCGGAGGAAGCATGACCTAGACACCCTCATTTCAGACTTCTAACTTCAGAGCTGTGAGAGAACACATTGCTAATTTTCAAGAGGCAGATGAGATCTGAATGGGACTGTGTAAAATCTTTAGATTAATTTGAAGAGTATTACCATTTTAACAATACAGTTTGAGCCACAAATGTGGGTATTTTATGAACATGGGTATTTTCCCTTTCATTTAGATCTCTAATTCTTTCTTTCAACAATGTTTTACAGTTTTCAGTGTACAAATTTTATACTTATTACCTAAGTATTATATTTAAAAATATTTTATTATTTTTTATGTGTATGAGTGTATTTCATGCATATAAGCACACCCATGTTGTGCACCGCCTGTGGAGGTCAGAAGAGGCATCGAATCCCCCATCAAACCCTCTGGAACTAGAGTTATAGATGGTTGTTAGCTGCCATGAGGGTGCTGGGAATTGAACCTGGGTCCTCTGCAAGAGCAGCCAATGCTCTTAACTACTGAGTCATCTTTCCAGCACCTCCTAAGTATAATATTTTTTGAGACAGAGTCTCACTATATAGCCCAGACAGTTTTTGAACTCATGATCATCCTGCCTCAGCCTCTTGTGTGCATGCACACACAAACATGCCACTGTGTACAGTTGGAGGTCAGAGAACAACTTGAGGGACTTAGTTCTTTTCTTCTACCATGTGGGTCCTACAGATGGAACTCAGGTCATCAGGCCTGGCAGCAGGTACTTTTACCCACTAAGTCATCTGGCCAGCCCATTATTATTATTATTATTATTATTATTATTATTATTATTATCATTATTATTATTTATTATACTGGGTCTCCTGGTAGCCCCAGCTGGCTTGGAACTTGGTGTGTAGACTGCATTGCCCTCAGTCTCAAAGAGATATACCTGCCTCTGCCTCCTAAGTGCTGGGATTAAAGGTATGCATCACCATGTCTGGATCCCCTTTATTCTTTTGGATGCTACTACAAATCAAGTGGGATTTTCTTAATTTCATATGTTGACAAACTTCTTATATCCTACAATCATCCTAAAAAGTTTTAAAGTAGATTCCTTATGGTCTAAACACAAGATCACATGACCTGCAAATCATTTTCCTTCTTTTCTAATCCATAAACCTTTTCTTTCTTTGGCCCAATTATTCTAACAGCTCAGCTGTTAGGATAAAGACATTTATGCCAGGTGTGGTGGTACATGCTTGTAGTTCTTGCTACTTGAGTGGCTGACACTGAAGGATCACAGAACTTAGGATTTTATGAGTGCTTTAACTAGCCTGGGAAATACAGTGAGAGTCTTGTTGAGAGATGGAGAGAGAAGAGAGAAGAAGGGGAGGGAGGGAGAGAATGGAGGGAACAGGAAGGAGGAGGAAGAGAGAGATTGAAGTTTGTTTTCTTACTATTCTAGAAGCTGAGAAGTCTGCAATCAGGGTTCACCATGGTAAGGCTCTAGTGAGGGCTCTTCCTGGCTTGCCAAAGGTTGCCTTCTTGCTCTGTCATATGGTACATATATAAGCTCTAATGTCTCCTTCTCTTCTTATAAGGACACTAATCCCATTATGTAGTGTGGCAGAGATGACCCAGTGCAGCAGTGTTGAACAAAGACAGCCTAACTCTTAGAAGTCGTTTACAACCAAGGGTGAGCCTGAACTGTTCTCAGAACAGTTCCATTCCTTCTGATTTCTCTCAGAATTGTTCCTCCAACTAATGGCATACCCTCTTTCTCTGCTTAAATAGTAGATCCAGTATGACATGGGAAAGAAGTGAGGAAGCTTGTCTCATTAGGGAAGAATTTTCCTTTTCCGATGCCTATACATATAAAACCACAAACAGGTATTATCTAATCCCACATGCTGTTTGCAACATAAAATGGGGATAATGTGCTGCTTTCAATGTTTCTGCTTTCAGCAATGATATTTTCAACACACACACACACACACACACACACACACACACAATTCTGGGTTGGGGCAAGGAAGGGTCATTAGGAAGAAATAGAAAACATAATCTAAGATTAAAGTTATCTGTTTAGCTTAGCTTGTGAAAGTTGATTACAAGAGGAGCCCAAGGCCTAGTAAGATTGTTTGCACTGTTTTCCTAGAGGATAAATTAAATAAGCTGATTACACAGTATGAAGGCAGATTGAACAATGTTAAATGAGCTGAAAACATAAAATTAACTTTGGTTACAAGATTACATAAAATTCCTATTTCATTCCTACAGTATAGTTTAACACTTATGATCTCATCTAAGCCTAATGGCTTCCCAAAAGCTCCTATATACTGAGGCTAGGGCTTCAACATGCATTTGGGGCATGGAAAGAACCATTCAGTCATCACACCTGCATAGAACCTCTAGTACAATGTTCAGACAGATGGGAAGAATGGACATCCTTGTCTTCCTGATCTTAGGAGGAAAGCATCCATTTTCACCAATAATTATCATGGTAGCTATATTTTTTTATTAAGTTCATTTCTTAGAAAAAATTATGAAATAGCATTAAGTTTGCTAGATGGTTTTTCTTTGTCTACTAGGATAATTATGTGGCTTTCTTATTCTACTGTTATTGTGTATGACATTGATTTTTTGGATGTTAAGCCAATTTTATATCCTATTTTGCTGATCTCTTTTGTGTAATTTGTAGTAAGCATATCATAACCCCACAAACATACAAATACATACTTCAGGGTATCTACACTGTTCATAATGAATCAGTTCTTTTGGGAAGAGCTTCAGAACTCATTTTAAAATTTATTTTTATGTATTCTTTTTAATGATTTGCTGCTCTCACAGGGCAAACCTCTGAGGCAGAGTTCTGACTCTGGAGGTGGAACAGCACCATGCTTCTCTCTGACTGACACTTCTACCTCAGGAGACAACAGTGTGGGGGAACAGGAGCCACAGGTCTCCTCAGTTTACCTCTTTCAGTGTCCAACCCCAATGAAATGGATAGGTAAGCATGATCAGGACCCCAAATTCTTAGTGACAGAATGCCCAAGATTAATCCTCCACCTGATGAGTAAGGTTGGCCAGAGGGTAGTCTATCTCCAGACTACATAGGCCTAAAATGTGGCCTCAGGAGCAGAGCTGGAATTAGAATGAGAAATACTGATATCCTGCCCTCCAGGAAAAACAGTCTTCCGATTGGGAGCCAAGGAAGAGGGAGAACCTGTGCTCCTGGATGCACCAGCCTAATGGAGCTTCGGTCTTGCTGCAGAAGGAGGCAGCAGGATGTGGTTCAAACACTGGCTTCTTGGTGTTCTTTTCAGGCTGTAGTAGATGTTCCTAAGTTAATGTTTCTTTACTTGGTGTATACCACTAGGGCCACTTCAGACACTTTCATGTTCATTTTTTTCCACCAGTTTTGTTGGGCAGAACATACCCAGAATTCCTCTTACTGTAATGCTAGATAGATTTGAAACCCAGATAGGCTCATAACACTGATTCATTCATACCATGCTCGATCAAGGGTATTGTAAACTTAGTAAGAATAGGTACTATGTCTTAAAAAATTGTTCTATTTAGAGTCTCATTGAATTCTCACAGGTTATGTTTGCTTCAAATGAATTATGGATGCCAGTAAAAAAATAATTTACCACTTAAAAATTAATTTCTCTTCTTGGAGTTAAACCCAAAGTGATCCTTCTTTCATTTAAAATGGACATAAAGGAAAACAATGTATTTTGTCAAATATACTATAGCAAATTACATGCACTGCTTATCTTTTTTGCTGTTCTTTTTTGTTTTTTTGAGTCAGGGTCTCCCTAGTAGCCCCAGTTGACCTGGAACTCACTATGTAGACCAGGCTGGCCTTGATCTCACAGAGATCTGCCTGCCTTGGTTCCTGAGTGTCAGAATTTGAAGGTATGCACCACCATGTTCGGCCTGCACTGGCCATTTTATAGTAACTGCATATTTTAAATTGTCCCTTATTCAGTTAGCAAAAACAAATGAACTGGCTATTTCAGGGTTGGACTATCTCGATCACAAAGTCATGATTATAAATGCCTTGAACATTATCAACAGCTAGAATGTTGTATCATTTATCACTTAGTTTTATAGGTTTTCAAATTCTTTTCCAATTCTGAAGTTTGAATAATCAAAATGCCTTACCATATTAGGATCATACCCCAGGGAAAACAAGCATGGCTTTTCTTCTAAAATTGCTTCCTTCCACTTTTCATCAGATACTAAACCAATGTACCAGTTACTTTCATATTCTTTAAGACAGTTGTTCAGTTCTTCAAAGTCTTCTATTGGACCTAAACTTGCTTTATCAACCATTAGTTTCAGAGTATACCTAAAAAACGGAAACCCAAACAATTTTAGAATTTTGGAAATCAACTTTATAATGAAAGAGATTGTTCACTATTTTTAAGACTCTGAAGTACAATCGTCCATATTTCAAACCAAGTGTCATGGCATAGACGTGTACTACCAGTACTTGAGAGGGGACGGTAAGGTCATCTTTAGCTACATAATGAGTTCAAGGCTAATCTTGGGGTACATGGGATCATATCTCACCCCTTCCCCAAAGAAATCGTACACTTCAGATAGAAAAAAACTGAGGGAGATGAGGCTAGGGATGCAGCTCAGTTGGTAGGGTGCTTGCGTAGCATAGACAAAGCCCTGGGTTGGATCCCCAGCACCATGTAAACCAGAAGTGGTGGCAGGACATGCCTGTTATCCCAGCACTCAGAAGGTAGAGACAAAAGATGTAGGTTCCATCCTGAGCATTTGAAAGGAAAAACAAAAATACAACAAAATAGCCAGGGAGACATGGATGAAGAGGAAGGGAAGAAGTCCAATGAACCACATGAAAAAACAATCTCTACATGAACAAAGGCAACACAGTAGAAATTAAAGTGTGTTGCCAATATAAACACAATACACACCAAGCATATTTCTTATGGAAGCTACTTTAAAAGTTTAGAAATGAAAAAGCCTTTAGGTGATATTGCTTTAAAAAAGGGTATTTTTGGCCAATTCCAACTTGTATATAATCAAAATGAGTTACCTGAATGCTTTCAAAGCTAGCTGGAACAGTTCTGGTTTTTCTGTGAGCCAATCCAAGGCACTAGACCAGGGCAAAACACCATTGTAAACTCTTAATATCTGACCAGGACTAGGAGTCATATTGTCTATTCCAAATAAACTAAAATAACAAGTCATTACTGTCTGAACATACAAGTTTTTTAAAACTTTATCCTTTGCAATTTCGTCCAGTATACTTGAGGACTTTTCTTCTGAGTGAAAACATTCCAAGTGCCTTAAAACGAACTGGTACCAGTCTTCTGGAAATAAGGAGCTCATCTCCTTCATTTTGGAATTCAGTATACTGTTAGACTGCCACTCCTCAGGTAAACTCAATATCCGAGAATGGGAACAAGTGAACTCCAAGAGAGGGGTGGATGGTATGTCTTCTCGCTTTCCCTTGTCAATGGCAGGGAATCCCAACAAAATCGTTCTATAAAGATCGTTTTTAGGAACTGTGTGTGTAGAATGACCATCCACACTCTGTGAGTCGACTGACCCAGGAATAGGCAAATTTGTACTTGGTAAAACTTTGAACTGCATTTTTTCTTCTTTTCTCTTTTTGATAGTTGGCTCATCATCAAAGATATTATCAGACCAATCATCAAAAGTGTCTGAATTTAAACTATCTGTGTCTTCCAGGGATCTAGGGGGTGAAGTGCTCAAAGCAGGCAGGATTATTAGAGGGGGTTCCCCTTTGGTCTCAGTTTTGTGAATATTCTCCCGTAGGCTGGGTCTTTTCGAGCAGTACTGAATAAGCATCCACACAAGCACTTTAACAAGGTCATCTTTAAATTCTTTCAAGTTTTCATGAGAATCAATTATGCCAGATAGAACATTCCTGGCATCAGAATACATTTTCACAGGCAAAACAGTACACGGTGTCAAGACATTTCCAAAGTGCTCATTAAGGGAGCATACTTTTGGGTATTCTTGCTGAAAAGCACTTTCGAACACTTCATCAACTCTTTGGGCTTCCGCAGTATGACAGGATGTTTCCTGCAACTCTAACCCCTAAAGAGGAAATGAAGAACTGGAGTTTAACGTCATTTATTACTCAGGGAACAGAAACTAATTCTCATCATAAATGTGGAAAAATGGTTTTAAAAATTCTTTAACTGGCCGGGCGTCGTGGCGGACACCTTTAATCCCAGCACTTGGGAGGCCGAGGCAGGCGGAACTCTGTGAGTTCAAGGCCAGCCTGGTCTACATATTGAGTTCCAGGCCAGCTGGGGCTACAGGGAGACCCTGTCTCAAAAAATATAATAAAAAAAAATAAAACAAAAAATAAAAATTCTTTAACTGAAGAGCAGCTGCAACTTACACTTTATATCATTTAAGATATTTGATGTTGGATAAAGAGACTGAAAATAATGCTACTGATTTTAAAGAAGTTATAGAAAATCCCACTAGGAGTTGAGTAAGGCATTTTATAGTTATGAGTATAACTATAGTTTTGTTAGACTATACCTATTGTGAAGGTTGAATCACATATTAAAAACTTTTAAATCAGACATTTTATGGGGAGGGGGAGCAAAATGAAAACTCTGAAGTATATTGTAGCCATTTTGTAGCCTTCTACTCCACTTTATGAGACTAAGAGAATTATTTTATTGGAGTACCATAGTTTATCAAATCACATGTGTTCTATTTTTTAATGGATATATAGCATTCATTTGGTTACTCTTTGTCTCATTCAACTGCAGCATGACATTCATAAAGCAGCTGTCAATATTCCCAGTGTCTAAACTAGCACCCAACACACAGAAGACATGCAATCAGCAAATGCTTAGTGCGTGAACAATGTGAGTGTGTTCCTGTGCAGATTTCAAACATGTTGAGTACGTCCTTAGACGGGATCATGCGAAGAGCACAAACCAGGTCACTGTTTACTATTATTGTTTTTTAAAACGTATTTTAAAGTACACCTGTGTCATGCAATGCCCACAGAGGTCAGAAAAGGATGTCATATCCTCTGGAACTGGAGTTACAGATGGTTGTTAGTAGCCTTGTGGGTGCTGGGAATTGAACCTGGGTCCTCTGCAAGAGCAGTCAGTGCTCTTAACCACTGAGCTATCTCAGGCCTATAACTGTTAGTTAATTAATTTTATTTATTTATTTTTTACAAAACTACGAGTGCTTTCAGAACCCATTTTTAAGCTATTGCTCTACCAAATGACACATACAACTTTAGTAGGTTATGTATTTTCTCTGAGATCCCCTCCTTTTCTTTCCAGAAAAAAGAAATTCTTGAGAATAAGTGACTGGAATGCTTGACCCTAAATTGGCACCTATAGCATGCATCCATCCTCCCCGGCTCCAAAGCTCGCTCCAAAGCTCGGAGAACATTGAGAGGACAGACTCTTAAAGAGGCAGAGGTCAGGAAAAACTGCTGTAAAATAGTTGTAGCCATGAAGTCACAGCAGCTGTGGCTGTCTGCATAAGCCCTGCACAAGACCAAGCCAGAAAACACCCCAGCACAGACAGAAGAAGAGCTCATGATGCTCCCACACCAGCTGAGGCAATACTGGCAGTTGATGGATGCAGGGGGAGAGAAAGAAGCACAGCTGTCTTCTGGGGTGTGGTCCATCACAGGCTGTCTATGCTCTAGTGGATGGCCCTACCCCCACTCATATACAAATTAGGCAGCACTAACTGGACTCAGTGGAACTTTTTTTTTAAAGAGGACATGAAGTTGGGAGAGGGGTGAGGAGATTCTGAAAGAAGCTGGAAGGGGCAATGGAGGGTGGATATGATCTAAATACACTGAATACATGCATGAAATTATAAAATAATAAAAACAATTTTAAATATTTCTTGTAAAAGAAAAAAGGATGCCAATAAAAAGTGTGTGCAAGTGTGGAGTGTGAGTGTGCATGAGTGTGTGTATGAGTGTGTGTGTATAAAGCATAAAAGACCACCAAAAGGATGGTTCATATAATTGGACATTAAATTATATAATTTTAATAACAAAATAAAGTACTCAGAAACAATTATCTGTGATATCTGCATGAATTTTCTTTCCTTCTTAGACTTGTACAGGTTACAATACAATGGGGCTTCTCAAACTTTAGGTGAGTCAGAATCCTGTGGAGCATACTTTAAAGCTACTGCTAGACTCCCTCACCTCAGGTTCTGATTTGATAGGTCCGAGGTGGGATTCATGCACTTCCGTTTGCAGTCAATGCTACTAGACTTGGGGTTCCATTTTGAGAACCATTGTTCTAAAGGGACAGCTTTTTGGTCGCTAGTAATTTTATCCAATCTGTGCTAAGTCAAAAAATTCATTACAGATTCAATGCTCTTTATTAAAGGTCTATTCTGTGTCAGATGCTATTCCGGGGTTTAGGGCATATTCTTGAATAAAAACAAAACAACTGTGCTCCTGTAACATTTCAGTAGTGAAGCACAAAGACAATCAAAAAAGTAAAAATTTGCTTAGTTTTTAGAAGGTGTTAAGTGCTATGAAAATAAAGAAGAAGGACAGCAAGCCAAGGGTTGGGGTTGCCGAGATGCTAGTGGGATTATATTTTTAAATATGATGGCTGCAAGAGACCTTATTGAGAAAATGACACTGGAGCACAAGCTTGATGGTAGCAGGGGGTTAACCAATTACCCGAAGGGAAGACACAGACGGTAGGCTGGAACAGAGGTTAAAGTGGTAGATGAGGCCAAAGCAGGAGCAGAGAGCCTGGTTCCTCAGGGCCTTGGTTTGTGCACTGAATGAAAGATATATACTACGGGGCTTTCAGTAGAGGAGTGACAGGCTCTGACCTACATTTACAAGATCATTTTGGTTGACAATAAACTGCAGGAACACCTGCAGAAGCAGGAGAGTGATTGAGAGGCTACTAAAATTATCTGGGCTGGTTAAGGGATGAAGATGCCTGGAACTGGGGTGGTGAGAAGTAATTGGAAGCAGAAACAGCTGACTAGGATTAAGAATTTCTTGTCAGACTGAATGTGGAAAGTACAGAACTAGGAATCACACAGGAGTACTTTTGACTTGAGCAACCAGAAGGGCAGAGCTGTCCCCAAGGACTGTGAGGCTCTGCGAAGCTGAAGTGAAGAGGTCAAAGTAAAGAGACAAACTGTCAAACAAGAGAACTGTATCACCTGCTGCTGACTGGTCAAGTAAGATGGCTCTGAGAGCACACACTGGAGTTAGCCATGTGAATGTCTCTGGAGACCTTGACAAGAGCAGGTTTGGTAAGGGTGAAAAACCTAGAGTAAGGTGGAGACAGAATGGGAAAAACGAACTTGAAGATAGAAAAAGAAGCAACTCTAATCAGGCATTCTGACCTTACAAAAAGGACAGGAATGGTGCAGCTGGTAGAGGCAGTGGGGTGGGAAGAAAAAGAATCACTGATTCACATTTTTTGAGATATTCACATAAACATGGATAAAAAGAACAACCAAGTGAATGTATTTTATACAACGCTCTATTACACAACTGACATTAGCTAACAAAATGTGCTTATTAAAATATATATTTTGAAATCACTTGGTTTTTTCATAAACAAACATACATCTCTTTCAGGCTAAGTTATTGTTGACGTGTATGTAACAGATAAAATCTTATAAGTGCACTATAAAGACTACTAGAGAAGTTTCAAATGCATATTGACCTTAATATTAATATAGCAGTAAGCATAGCCACGCTCTAGAATCATTATCCATATTAAACGATCCTGAAAACGGCCCAAATAATGAGACCCAGGCAGGAGGAAACCTAAAATAAATTAGAGAAGGAAAAAAAAGAAAGAAAATAATTTTTCAAACTTGTTTTATTTTTCTCTGTGAATATTCAAACTGAACACATCTAGAATTCAATCCCAGTTACTTTGCCCTGTGGTTAGGTCAAGAATAGAAATGACTGTCCACTGCACACCACGAAGCATCATGCTAAGCTCTTTTTGAGCACTTGCATAAGTGAGGCAATGTATACGTGACAATATGCAGAAACTAAGGATACAGTTTTCAGAAAAACAACGAAATGGAAACTATTGAATAAAATGTTAAATAGACATTAAGCATATTTGGAAAAGTATGAAATATATAAAAAGTAATTTCATACTGATCTAAAAGACTCTGAACATTGTATTTACATGCATATAAGTATATGACAATTATTTATGGCCTTAAAATTTTGCATAATTTACATCAATTTACAATGCACAAATATTTTAAAAAACTTACATTCTTTCAACACAGCATCTGAGGCTCATTCATGCTCACTGCTACCAGCTCAAGTTCACTATTTGAATAATAATTGAATCTGAGTATTTTTTTTACTTATTTTTATGTGTATGAGTGTTCTACCTGCATGTGTACAAGTGCACCACATGTGTGCAATGCTTGCAGAGGCCAGAAGAGGGTGTCGGATCCCCTAGAACTGGAGTTATGGATGGTTGTTAGCCACCATATGGGTGCTAGGAACCAAACCAGGGTTCTCTGCAAGAGCAGCCAGTGCTCTTAACCACTAAACCATCTCTACAGCCCCAAATCTGAGTATTCTTTTTCTTTGTTAATAAACAGTTCAGATATTTCCATTTCTTCACTATTAGAAATGCTTTTGAAATTGTTTTGGGGAAAGTTTGCTTACACAATATATTGTATGGAGGAGTGAACTCAGCAGGGCTGACTGTTGTCCTCTGAAAGGTCTGCTTAAAAGGGTTGGCCCTTGGTTGGCATCTGGAACCTCTGTGCCTAGTAAAACTGGACCTCACTGTTACACAAACAACAAATAAAGTGTATACTGAACATTTGCTTTTCTTTAAAGGTTTTGATATTGGAATGATATTGGAAGTAGAGTATCTACATAGGCAGCTAGGTTTTAGTCTTTGCTTTGGACCTATTGAATCCACTTGACAGAAATTCATTATATATTCATGGAAACTGTGGGCAGAAAGATGTTATGTTTCAATGGTAAGCATATAATCTGAATTTTTAAAAATGTTCTATCTTTTTCAATTGCCAAATTACCATAATGAAATCTTCCCTAAATATTTATTTTATTATTTTATCTCAAATGTAACAAGCCAAGGTATAATTCTATTTCATAGTCTTGGCCAACTCATCCAAGCTCTATGCTCTATGCTGTATGGCTCGATTAAACAGATAATCTGTGTTCTTTTCCTGTACTTCAAATACATTAGGAATAATTTCTTAAGCACAGCTCATTTACTTACCTAAACCTCCAGCTGCCATTGCGGTCTGCAGTGCAGCGGTCAACCTGGGGACCATCTGGTAGTAGTACACCGTGTCTGCACACACACAAGCTGCAGTGCCCACTGCTCCTGGCCAACTCTGAACAGGACGGGGAAACCCCACCAAGAAAACAGGAAGGGTGAAGAGGGGGAGCAAAGGAGAAGACAGTAGCGTAGACAAAATGATGACAACCAACACGAATGGTGAGAAGACAATGTTGAGTACACACAAAGTGGTAGTTGTTTTGCGATGCTGTTTTTTTTCTGTCCATGATGCCAAAAGTACAGTCACAGCAAACCGCAATTTAGAGATGAACTGAATCAGACGATCCCACATGATGCCAACCTGTGGAAACGTAGAAATCATCACTTATAAAAAAAAAACATGAATTTTCAAAATCACTTAAGGAAAATTATGTAATCATCATATTATTGCCCCAATTATTTGGGGGGAAATAGCCTTAACATGTGACTCCTTGCTATAATTTTCTTCAAACCTCAACATAATAAAAGAGAAACTACATTTGTAAGTTTGATCTCAGCCAGGGTCTCATGTAGCTCAAGCTAGCTTCAAACTTGCTATGTAACTGAAGATGATCTTGAACTTCTGACCCTCTTGCCGCTGTCTTCTGCCATTTGGGAATACAAGCCTGTGCTGGTACCGGAGAGGGTATCTCCCACATATAATCCACTCAGGGAAGGTTAGTACTTTGATTTTTGATAGTATTATCAGTTCAGCTTTAGATGAGGCAAACAAGCTCTTAGAAAATAATGTGGTAAGCTAATAATGCTAAATAAAATTGTTTCTTTGGAAAAAGAAAACCAAGAAAGTTAACACTGAAGAAAATTGACATACTACTCAAATCTTAAGGGTAAGGCTGGGTGTGGTGGTGCACGCCTTTAATCGCAGCACTCTGGAGGCAGAGGCAGGTGGATCTCTGTAGAGAGATTGAGGCCAGCCTGGTCTCTATAGTCAGTTCTAGACCAGCTGGGGCTACAGGGAGACCCCAAAAAGACACCCCCCAAAAAAAACCCCTTAAGTGCATGAACAATTAATTGTAAACCATCAAATTAGGTAACTTAGAAGAAACTAACATGTTCCCAGAAAAGCACATTTACTAAAAGTAGCTGAAGAAAAAAAAATAGATGAGGCTGATAACAAAAGATTGAATTAGACTACACTGACAAACAATTTAACTGGCCATTTTTACACTAGTTACAGATTTTTCATTCCTAAAATGTATGTAATGACCCTTGTGACTGAAAACGACGTCTTCAGCTATGTGGCACTTGCATTACTTCTATTTTTTCTTCTTTTTTGATTTTTTTAAAGAATTTTGTTCTTTGCTAATGTCATCCATATATGATGCCCTCTAATCATACTCTTCTGCAATCTCTTACCTCCCTCCCACCTGTCATCCCTCCTCTTCCCTCCACATCTCTTTCCCCATCTTTTGGTTTTGTGACCCACTGAGTTTAACCAGGGGCATATGAGTGATCCTGGGTTTGAACTGTCCACTAGAGCCCGATAGGCTCATCTGCGGATACACTGGGGAGACAATGACTCCCAAAACTACTCATAGAGAAAAGCTGAGGTTTGGATATCTTCAGTATTACAAAATACTATTTACAATGAAATACTTCAAATATTAATATTTGATGATGACAATAAAACACCTAGGAATAGTCAATACCAATCTTTCATCAGCTCTTCCAGAGAACAGAAGTGTAGGGAATACTTTCTAGTCATTTTATGTGATCCTGACACCTAAACCAGACAACAATATCATAATGAAAGTTAACAGTGTAAACGCAAACACACATACTTACACATACACATATCTTGTGAATAAAGATGAAAGGAAAATATTACTAAACTCAGTTCTTCAACATATGAAAAGTATTGTACAGCATAACCAGGCGGGATTTATTCCAGGAAAGAAAACCTGGTTTAACAACCAAAACCCAATCAACATATTACATACTATTATGCTAACAACAAACAGAGCAAAAGGATTTGATAAAATCTAACACCCTTCATGATAAAAGTACTCAACAACTGAAGGGAACGTGAGATAAAGAACACCTATGAAAAATCCTTAGCTGTCATCCTTAGTTATAAAAGAGCGACACGTTAATGAGACTGAATGCTTTCCTCATAGACTGCCTGCTCTCCTTCATTCAGCTGAACATTATCCCAGAGTTCTAGTCATCGAAATTAGACAACTAAAAGAAATTAGAGACATTCAGCTTACAAAGAAATATTATCTCTATTTGTATCTGACTTCACTTTATATGTAGAATGCCCGAAGAAGCCACCAGAAATTTATTACCACTAATGAAAGTTCAGTGTGATTTCAGGATACAAGATTAATAAAAAAAATAAATTATATCCTTTAGTCTAAGTCTAACAATAAATAAGCGAAAACATAAAATTAAAAACATTACATTTTTAAAATCAGCAAAAAGAACTAAGTACTTAGGAATAAATTTAATATTATTAAATGTAAGATGTATACACTGGAAACTATAAAACACTGTTGAAATATACTGAAGAAAATATAAATGAATCTTATGGAACATAAACATCCTTTTTTTTTTTTTTTCTGAGCTAGGGTCTCCCTGTATCCCCAGCTGACATGGAACTCACTATGTAGACCACGTTGGCCTTGAACTCACAGAGATCCGCCTGCCTCTGCCTCCCAAATGCTAGGATTAAAGGCACGTGCTAGCATGCCTGGCCTGGAACATAAACATCTTTTTTATGAGTTGAAGAATCAATGTTTTTAAGATGACAGTATTCCTAAGTTGATATACAGATTCAAGGCATTTCCCATCAAAGTCTAAGAGGCCTTTATGAGTAAACTGACAAGCTGATACTAATATTTACATGGAAATGGAATGGTCCCAGACTAGTAAAGACAGTCTTGAAAAAGGACAAAGTTGGAAGACTTACACTCCCAGCTTGAAAATCTACAACAAAACTACTGTAGCCCCCCAAAAGTGTGATATTGGCATAAGGACTATATATATGGATGGAAAAGAACTAAAGAGTATTACAGAAATAAGAAAATTTGATTTTTAAAATATTTTATTAAGTGTATTTGTGTCTGAGTATGTGCACATGAGCGTAGCACACGAGTGCAGTGCCCTCAGAGGCCAGAAGAGGTCATTAGATTCCTTGGAGCTGAGGTTACAGGTAGATTGTGAGTCACCTGACATGGGTGCTGGAAACTGAATTCTGTTCCTCTGCAAAAGTGGTACATGCTCTTAATCACTGAGCCAACTCACTAGACCCCCTCCCCCAATTTGATATTTGACAAGGGTACCAAAAGAATTCATTAAGGACAGAATAGTCTTTTCATTTCATAGCATAGCACAATCATATATACACATTCCAAAGAATAAATCTGGAACTTCACCCAACATTACATGCAAAAAGTAACTCAAAGTAGATTGCAGACTGTATAAAACTACAAAGTCTTCAAGAAAATACTGTCCATCTTTATGCCTTGAAGTAGTGTCTGTTAGACATGACACCAAAAACAGAGGGACAAAAGAAAAAAGCACTTGTCACAAAAGATTAAAAAGTGGGCCTAGCATCTGTGAGGCCCGAGGTTCAATCCTGAGCACTGTAAGATGAATGAAGAAATAATAAATATAAGTACTTTATTAAAAATGTTAAAATGTATTGTGTTTCAAAAGACCAAAGGACAGCATCAGAGGCTGGGGATGTAGTTCAGTGTTATCTGTAGAGCACTTGCCCAGCATGCATGACGTCCTGAGTCACACACACACACACACACACACACACACACAATTAAGAAAATGACAACCTGCAGAACAGGAGATAATCTGGCATATTACATCAGTCAAGGAACTTGTATCTAGAATGCATAAGAAAAATAATTCAAATAAAAATGGACAAATGATTTGGATATAAACCCAAAAAATACACAAATGAGCAGTATATACATGGAAAGAAACTAAACAGAATCATGCAATCCAAACTGCAGCAAGATGGACTTGGGCATGGTGGTATGGACATGTAACTGCAACACTTGGGAGGTAGAGGCTAGGAGGATCAGAAGTTCAAGACTAGCCTTGACTACATACGACTTTGAGGCCAGCCTGGGCTACAAGAGACCTGCCCTAAAACAAAACAAAATGACAACAACCACCACCACAGCAAGATGGCATTTCACAGCTATGTGTGGCTAGAGTGAAAAACTCAGCTAATATAGGTGCTGGTGGGAATGTGGAATAATGGGAAAAGTTTCATATACTGCTAAATAGTGTATTTCCAAAATGGCATAACAAGGTTGGAAAACAGTGTGGCAGTACGTGAAGCATGAAATACAGAATTACTGCATGCCCAAATTCCTAGACCTGTGTGCTTATACCAATAGGAAATAAAAACACATGTCCATCCAAAAATATGTACACAGCCTGACGTGCTGGCACACAATCTTAATCCCAGCACTTGGGAGGCAGAGGCAGGCATACCTCGAAGAGATCAAGGCCAGCCTTGTTTACATAGTCAGTTCCAGGCCACCTGGGACTACAGGAAGACCCTGTCTCAGAAAATAAAAGTATACAAATGTTCATAGTAATATTCTTCCCAATAATGAAAAGTAGAAACCCAAGTATCATCTATGAGTGTATCCAGCAAATGTGGTTTATCTACACACTGGAATATTATTTGGCAACAAAAATAAGTACTGATGCATCCATTATGAAAGATCCCAAAGAACATATGGACCATCTGGGGGGACAAAATTCAAAGGACCACACATTCTGTGATTCCATTCAGACAATTTGTCCTGAAGGGGAAAAATCTGTCAATATAGAAAGTAGGTAAGTGGTGGCTGGGTCTGGAGGAGATACAGACAATGGGATGGAGGATGGCCATTAATGTATACTATCAATGCATACATCTGGGATGCTGGAAACATTTGAAAATTAGATACTAATGCTGACTGCACAACTCTGAATATATTCCATGAACAGTAAGAAGGAATTTTATCACACGTAAAAAATATCTCAATACAGCTGTTAAAAATACACTTACCAATAAGAGTCTTATTCCTGTATCAAGGCTTCTGTTCCACCATGAGTCTGTGTCGGCTATCAGCATGTGCACAGCTGACACAATAGCACTCTCTAATAAAGCGTTCTCTGTATTCTGCCATACCTGTAGTGTACAAATTACCCACTTTTATTAGATAGCCACCAATTATCTATGCAAACTTAAAAACCACAGTGAAACTTAGAAACAGTAAAGTACTATTAAGTGCAAATTAGGATTACCATTCTAAAAGCCCTTGTGAATCCTATGGAGACAGACACAGAGTGGAGTCCTTGTAAGGCACTATCCAATGAAAGAAATGCTATCACAGCAAAAGGTGACACTGAAACAAAATAGACAGAAAGATGAGGTAAATTTAATTAATGCACTGAAACTTCCTCTATTGTAGTTTATCAGAATAAATGGTTTTATGGACAAAATTAAGCAATTAACTGAAAATTAATGAACAAAAATATCAAAATCTTGCCTATAGCATACTATACAAATATGAGAATTTCCTTTTTGAGGAAACGCTTCCCAAATATGATTCATAACACAGTTATCAGATTTTATCTTCCTACCTAGGGTTAGCAAAATCCTTCTGACAGCCCCAATCCACAGGAGCTTTTTTTGCTTCTCTAAGAATACAGTCACAACTTGCACATCCTTTGGGTAGAACGGGTTTCGGAAAATTCCAAAGATATAGACGCTCTGAATTTCTCTTAGTATCCACAGTATTAAAAGCAACATCATCAGCATATAGCCCACGATTGCCTGGGAGCAGTTTTTGGAAACCTGTGAGTAACCGGAGTAGTGATGCAGCAGACCCGCCTCTAGGAGAGCCAAGCTGAACATAATGCTGTAGAGAAGGCATTCCTTCCACCCGAACTGCTGGTCCGAGTCACCAAGGAAAGTCTTAGATTTTCCTTCCACTCTGTGGCTGGCCACGCAGTGCTTGAAGACTAAGTGCATGCCACTTAGATTAAGACTCAGCAAGAACCCAAGTCCAGTCATGAAAAGAACCACACCAATGGTGCTGGGAATGAAGTACGACAGTACAGCTGTTCCAGCAGAAATGGTGAACATCACCAATAACCTGTAGGGTGAAAAGAGAAAAAACGATTTACTGAATGGTAAATCTGTTCTTTAAGAAGTTACATCAGGGTCAGAGAGATGGTTCGGTGGATATGGGTAGTTGCTGCCAAGTCTGGTAACTGAGTTTGATCTTCAGAGCCCATGTGGTGGAAGGAGAGAACCGACTCCCACAAGTGGTCCTCCGACCTTCACGTATGTGCCATTGCACATATGTACATTCACCTCCCTACCCTCCCTTGTAAATAAGAATGAAGTTACCACAGACTTCAATATTAAAAATGAAAAGACTTACTGTAGGTGAGTTGACATGGATGAGCCGCCAAGGCCGAACGCTAAAACCTGCTCCACTGCCCATAACAAAAGAGCATCAGGTGGGGGCAGAGTCCCAAGTGCCCACAGAAAGGGTAAAAATATAAACAAGATGTGCAAAATCTGATTCATCTGTTCTAGAACTGGTACATTTACAATAAATCTACAAGAAAAAGAAAGCATCTAAATCATACAAATTAATATATAGGAGATCTTTCCAGGAAACAAACTCACTTATCCACAAAACACTATATCCCAAAAGAAAAAAGCACTTACAAGAAAGGTCCTAGTCCAAACTTAAAAGGTCTATATGCATTGTGACTGTCCTGCCCCTGAATCAGCACTGACCTCAACTCTGCGCAAGCTTTACAGGATAGGGAGATTCCAACTTGCAAAGAAAGAAGCAATTAGAAGCCATCGCAGAGTAGTGATAAAATTAAATGTAGACATTTTTAAAACTCAACAATTTTGCCACAAAATATTTTCTCCTTAAATCTACATTGGCTGAAATCCTGCTGCTGATTCTTTAGATTTTAAATTTTTATAATTTAAAATTATAAGGAGCTTTGGGAAAGCCAAAGCTTTACTGACATGCATACACTGGCAGCTCATGAAGTTCTAGTCCCTGTTCTCTCTCCTGCATTATCCTCTTAGGTCTCAGAATATGAAGTCACTATAGATAATATCAGCAGGGAGCAGTGGATGCTGTGACTGTCATTTGCTCCAGACCCTTAACTAGCCTTTATAGCACTGCTCTATTTTATATAGGCAATGTTACAAACTGATATAATACAATCTTCTCAGAGTGAAGTCTGCCTCTGCTTTAAATGGAGAAGTCCATGCTTGATAAAGCACTCGTAGTTAAACATAGCAAAGTGGATTCAAATAGTTCAATAAAAATGTAAAGCATAGGAAAATAAACATTCTCAATATAGTGATGATTTTTCTGAATAAACCTAATCTAACACTGTCAGGAAATCTACAGGGTCAGAGTCCTGTAGACACATGGAGTACTGAAGGCTTAGAGCACACCTGAGATGCTAAGCATGAAAGAGACACCTGTGGCATTTCCTCATTGAAGGGTTGACATTCCAGAAGGGAACGCACAGTAACTATGGATCTAATCATGTGTGCACACACTTGCTCACAGATCACCCAACCTATGCCCGCTAATATACTGTTTCCTATTGCACGTCCTTCAAATTGTTATAAACACGGAATTATGAACCCAAGGTTAACACTGCAATGTCAAATTAGACAATACTTCCAGTAGTGTAATTTTAAACTAAAATTCACTTCATTCTGAGAAGAAAGCATTCAATTAACAAATAGAATCAAGCCATGGATAATTAAACAGTTAATACTGTAGAGCTGTTTTTTGTTTTTCAATATAACACTCCTCCTGCAAACATACTCAAGGATTAGGATTTTCATAAAAATAAATCATGCTCAGGAAATGTTTTACTAAAATGAACTTCTATCCTTAAATCCTTTTGTTCTTAATTAATAAGCAATGGCATAATAAATGAAGACATTATGCATCATTATTATAAGTAAATATAAATACATGTAAGTTAACCAAATACTGATTATGTCCCTGTATATAAACTCAGCCCCAGATTATTACTGTAGTTAATTATTTTATATGGAAAAATATTTAATGTTTCTGATAATGTAAGAGAAATTTCCTAGGATAAAAAAAAAAAAAAAAGAAGAGCTGGGCGTGGTGGTGCATGCCTTTAATCCCAACACTCAGGAGGCAGAGGCAGGTGGATCTCTGTGAGTTTGAGGTCAGCCTGGTCTACATAGTGAGTTCCAGATCAGATTCAGATGGGGCTATAGGAAGACCCTGTCTCAAAAAAGACCCCCCTCCCCAAAAATGAAGAAAAAAATTTTGAACCTAACAACTATAAAAATATTTATAAGTTCTATACACTGACCATGAAAAACCATGTCCTGTATAGTGGCTAAGAGGATGCGAATAAATATAATTCCTTCCAATAATTCTGGAGTCTCTGAGCGAAGCACTGAAGCTTTAATGCTTGCTTTTCATAAGCTAAACTTTGGTAGAGAGTCATTTACAATTATTACAACACAACTGTACTCCACAGAATAAAGAGCAGGGAGAGCAAAGGTCACCGTGGCTGGATCACTTTGGCTTTTTTTTTTTCCACATCTTTAGAAATAAAACTAAAAAACAACTTGGTATTTCTGTCCAGAGTTAAAAAGCACACACACTTTACACATTTATCACCATTCTACTATATAAAGACTTCAAGTCTTTATCCTCTTGTTATCCAAAAGGTCTATTTTTATAAAAACAAAATGAAAAGTTAATTGTCCTGCAATAATCTGTCGTTTTGTTCTTTAAAAACAGATGTGGGGTTGTCTCTTAGGCATAATAAAATCAAAAACAAAAACAACAAACCAAAATATCCCCCCACAAAAACCTGCATAATTATCAAACCTTTAAACATTAAAACATTCTATTAAATCCAACAAGAATCTAGTAAGACATATTTTATGCATTTTCATTTAAAGATGAATAATACCCTGTTTTAAAAAACGCAATGAGGCCGGGCGTCGTGGTGCACACCTTTAATCCCAGCACTCGGGAGGCAGAGGCAGGTGGATCTCTGTGAGTTCAAGGCCAGCCTGGTCTATATAGCGAATTCCAGGACAGCTGGGGCTATAAGGAGACCCTATCTCAAAAAAGACCACAAAAAAAATGCAATGAAAGAACTTAGGACTCTATTTTAAATGTAAAGATGTATTGCAGTAGGTTACTAGCTCCTTTTTTAAAAATATTTTATTATTTTTATTTTATGTGTTTGAGTGTATTGCCTGCATGAAGTGCACCCATGTCACCCAGTGTCCAGAGATCAGAAGAGGGCATTAGATCCCCTGAAACTGCAATTATGGACAGTTGTTAGCTGTCATGTGGGTGTTGGAAATTGAACCTGGGTCCTTTGCAAGAGCAGCCAGTGCTCTTAACTGCTGCGCCATCTCTTCAACCCTAAGTTTCTGACTACAGAAATTATATAGTAAGACAGCAACTTAGGAATTTGTATTCTGAAAATAAACCTTATAAAGCTGAATCTTTACAAAGGGTCATATGTATACATTCAATTTTACTGGCAATTTTTTTAAAATTAAGCATCTACTTGTAATACAGTGAGCAAATGGTGGTGCTATTAAGAAACTGATTAAGGGACTAGAGAGATGGCTCAGCAGCTAATAGCACTGGCTGCTCTTGCAGAGGACCTGGGTTCAGGTCCCAGCACCCACATAGCAGCTAACAACCATCTGACAACTCCGGTTCCAGGAGATCTGATGCGTACTTTTGAAGTCTGTGGGTAATGAACATACAGGTGCACTTAACACACACAGACAAAACACTTATTCATATAAAATAAAAATAAATAAATCCAAAAAGTTCTAAAAAGAAACCAATTAAACCCCCTATTTATTCCTTCCTATCTATTAGGTGAAGTCCATAGGTCTGTCCTCTAGTCTATAAAAATATAATTGAGGAGATTAAGAATTAAAAATAGCAAACAGACACCTGCAGTCAGTTTCAGTATGCAAACCAACCTAATATTTTTAAATGTCTTGTCTTAATTTGGTCTTTCATCACACAATACAACAGACAGGGTGGCTTCAAATAGGAGAATTTTATTTTCTCAAAGTTGTGGAGGCTGGAGGTCCAAGATCACAGTGCCAGAGTGAATGGGCGCTAATGAGGCGCCTCTCACACTGCAGAGATGAAACTCCATTGCGTCCCTTCTTACAAGAGGCCTAAATCCATCATACCAGGTCCCACTTTCAGGACCTGATCATCCTCAAATGCCGTACCTTCAGGGTTGTGCTTTCAACATTACAATTTGGGATGAGAGGTGACAGACAATTCAGTCTGTAACATATGTACCCCTTCCCTGATTCATGTCCTTCTCACATGCAAAATACATTCATTCTGTCCCAATGGTCCCCAAAGTCTTAACTTTTTCTAGCATTAATTCTACAGTCTCATCTGGATATCACCTACATGGCCACCCTAAATGTGTCCTATCTTGTCTAAGCACCACATAAATCAGCTATGGCTGAAGGGTAAGGTGTAATCCATCCTGACAAAATTCCTTTCTAACTGTGAACCTGTAAAAGTACTTCCAAAACTGAAATGTTGATACAGGATAGGAGAAATGCTTCCAACACAAAAAGGTGAAACAGGAAAAAAGGGGTGATTGATCCCAAGGAAGTCCTTTACAAGGCAAATTCTGTTCATCTTTAAGGCTTAAGAATAACTCTGTTCTGTGCTCTGCCTTCTAGGCAGAGGCTTTATTATCCCCACAGCTCTGGGCGCTGAGCAGTGCTCCTGCCCCCAAGGCTTTAGATGGGAGGTCATTTGGCCTGTTGAAACTGCACGGTGATCCTGATGATTTCTGAGTCACCTGGGACATCATTCTTCCCTTTTCTTACAGAACAATGCACACTCACTGCTGAATAGTTCTATCATCTTGTCCCTTGAAATCCAAGTTCAGTAGCTTTCCTTTACTTTCTCACATCTCCAGCCCCTTTAATTCAAAATGGCAGTCAGTCTCTCACATGTTCCCTCCAGTCTGCCCCCTGATGTTCTCAATTTGCTTTCTTGTGCTTTATAGTATTGATGGGGAATTTTACAAGTCAAGCTATGGCTCTTTTTTTTTTTTTCCTGTTTAACATTTCTTCATCTCTCTCCTTTTGCATTGTATTATAAGCAGTCAGGAGGAATTAGATTGTTTCTTTAACATTGTTTTTCAAAATTTCCTTCCCTAGATATCCTGTTTTGTCACAAGTTCTTTCTTCCATGAAACACCAGCACACAGTCAGCCAAGTTCTTTGCTATTTTATAAAAAAGATTCCCTTTCTTCTAGTTTCTAATATCATACACTTCATTCCATCTAAGACTTCATCAGAATTGCCCATAATGTCTCAATTTCTAGCATGCAAGCCCAGGATCTTCCAGCTTCTATCCATTACAGTTATGTTACTTCCACTTTTTAGGAATTTGTTATTGTAGCCTCTGCTACTCAGTACTACAATCTGTCAGTTTTGGAGACTATAACAAAATACTGTAGACAGGGTAGCCTGAACAACAGAAATGTATTTTCTCACAGTTCTAAAAGTTGGCAGTTCAAGTTCAGGCTGCCAGGATGGTCAGGCTCTGGTGAGGGCTCTCTTCCTGACTTCCCATATGGCAAAGAAAGATTAAGCTCTCTTGAGTCTCTTAAAAGGGCACCAATCCTATTAAACTAAGGGCCCACCTTTATGACCTAATTATCTCTCAAAGGCTCCATCACCAAGTAACATGACATTAGAGTTTGGGGCTTTAATAAATGAACTTTGCCAGAGTTCATAACTTGTACATTTCTACCTGGACACTGACCTGGTAAAGAAAAAGCTTCAATCTACAGAAACAAAGAAAAGTCAGATTTAGAAAAGACAAACACAAGGTAGTATCAAACAGTTTTGTACATGATGTTTGCTTTAAAAGAGTTCCTATTTTCCTTCTATAATTAATTTAAAAATAATTTTTCTGTATTTACATAATACTAATGTATATAATTTTAAGCATATTAATATTTTTATATAATATTAACACGTTATAAATTTTAAAAGATCTCCACCCAGAAAGTTCTATTTCTTTTCATAGGCTTTAGCCAAGCTAAACGTTATTTTTAGTGCTCTTGACTTAAAAGTAAAACACAGGACTGAAAATATTGTTTATCTTAAAAAGTGTGTTTTGTTACGTTTTGATTCTTCAATATGATTTAATTACTTCTTTATAATTAACTGTTTTATAAAGACCAGTCCTAAAAGTTTAATCATCAAAATAACCTCAGTACCCTAAATGTTTGGTCTTAATTTTAAACCCACTGACACATCATTTTTAAACACTAAGAGAGCTGTCTTGTCAGGAAGACTTAAAAACAAAGCAAGCTGTACATATTTGGTAAGATTTTACCTGTGTGCAAGATCCACAGAAATAAAGCAAAAAATATAAAGCGGTCTCAGGAGAGGAGTGATTTCATAAGTATCCTGCGTTTGGAAAGTTGCAGTCTCTGTAGCCGTGTTTACAATTAAGGAGTACTCGCCTATACACAGCGTCATCCATCCAAAGACAAACAGCACAGCAGTACCTCCGGGACTGCCATACAGCAAGGTTACTCTGTGTGGGAGCAGGTACCACATTCCAAGACCACACACTAGCCCAGCAACAATGCAATGCAAAACCGTATTGGCTACGTATTTCTTGCCAGGAATTAGAAACTTGACAGTCTCAGCACCAGCACAACTTGTAAATTCGTGCTCATCTTCCTCTGCTAAAATATCTGCAGTTAACATCCTTTTGACCATCACTGACTTGCTTCTGGCATATAAACTTGTGAGCTGAATGACAGATGCAGTGAGAACCATTAGGCTACCCGAAAGGGCTGCTGCAGAGTAGTCTTTCAGGATGTCTAGTTGATATAAAAGTGTTCCTAGCCCACCTAAAACCCATGGTATCAGAAACAGGATAATCTGATTAACATATATGTAAGGAGGGGCACAATAGCCTAGTTTGAGTCGAGGGCCTCCCAGAACAGTCTGTGGAAAGCGTTTCAGCAGGAAGTCCTGTTTGTAGTCATTCAGCAGAGGGACATCTGGACTCATGCTTCCCACCCAGGAGTATTCTCAAAGTCACATCTTTTCCAAAACCAGCAGTATCTATGAAAAGGAAAAAAAAAATCATTTGAAAGGCTGATACTTAAAACCTGGGGGGAAACAGTCCACACTTCTAATTTATCTCCTTATCCTTCAAGGGCAGGATTTGAAACCATTCAAGTTCATTACCTTTACCTCATATGTAATTGATACTAAGCTTTTACTTTTTTAAACAAAATAAACATGCTAACTTATTTGTTTTCTTTTTAAAAAATCACATTTTTATTAATTTATCTAGCACATAATACTATGAATTAGATTTTAACTCAGTTTTAGATTCTGAGGCCAAAGTAGGTCCAGAAAACTAGTACTGTCTATTCAAATCTGCTCACAGTTTCATCATTTCTCTGTGAGTTTTTTCAGTTCATCTTTTTCTTCTATTACAGGGTCAGCAAACTTGGTCTCCAAATGGCCAGGTAGCAAATATTTTCAGCTTTGTGAGTTCTATTATAATGATCCTACTTTGTTGCTGTGGTACATAAAAGTAGCAATAGGCAATACAAGACACAAATGAATGCCAGAATTTTAATAAAATGTACAGTATTTATCCAAATAGGCTATGAACAATATGCCATCCCCATTGTATACATAAAGATATGTTTCTGGGCTGGAAAGATGCCTCGGTGGTGCACAGCACTGGCTGCTCTTGCAGAGGACTTGGATTCAGTTCCCAGCACCCACATGGAGGCTAACAACCATCCATAACTTCAGTTCCAGGGGATCCAACACCCTCTTCTGACATCCACAGACATTGAATGACATGGGTGCACTTATATACATTCAGGCAATACACTCATACACATAAAAATAAAAATTAAAAAATGATACATAAAAAGAGTTTAAATAAATGAGGATATTTCTGTATTATTTTCTAAATCAAACTGAAAAATGAAGGAGAAAATACAAGTACTAGGTGTTATGCATAAAACTTAACAATTACAACAAATTTAGGATTTTCAAATAATTTGAGAAGTCAAATCCTACAAGTAGCATTTCAGTAAAAACCAATATGGAAATTGGCAGCTCAAACTGTAACAGAAGAATAATAAACTGGAAATCAAAAGAATTTGGGTGCTCAAGGAGAAGCTTATTTTTAATATCTATGCCATCATAGGCAAAGCACTTGGTAGTTCACTGTGTAGTCTACTGCCAGTTAACAGAATATACCAGAACTTAGAAAGCATGAAACAGTATCAGAACCTGTACATCCCTTAGCATAGATAATTTTTATTTAAAGGTCATAAAAATCTGAAGTGTAAGGTACAATGGATTTGCTTCACTTTAACTTTTACTTCATATTCTGAATACACAGTTGCCTTACACAAGATCAGCTAGGAAAGTACTACCTCAGTGGATCATCTGTTAGGCTAAAAAAGAAAAGTTAAATTCATCTTAAAATAGCCCTTCCAATCAGTTTCCTTCCAGTCCTTCTGCCAATCATTTCTATATAGGCAACATCAGGCCTGGACACCTCTTTGTTACTGATAGGAGGTGCTTTAATCTATAAACATTCGTGTTCTCATACCTTCCAGTCACTGTTCTTAGTTAGGTATAGAACGATTTTCAGTTTTTACTTAGATGACAGCCCTGCAAACATTCACAAAATTGCAGAGTGCTAGGGAACCTTTATAGTCTATGATTCTATCTCAAAGATTGGAAAGACCACCTCCTTCCCTCTGTACGAGCTAACCTCCCTCCTTCCCTCTGTACGAGCTAACCTCCCTCAGTGATGTTAAACTTAGTGTTCTTCTACCATCACAGTCTTGTCATCACAGGGTCACACTGTGGATGGGGGTAAACTTTCTAGTACTAGTTATTTATGGCAGATGTTACCAGTCAAGAAAATGAGCTTGATTGGATGGCCAGGATTTTAAATTCTTGAGTTCCTGAGTTTTCTAGAAAATGAGCTTGGTTGGATGGCCAGGATTTTAAATTCTTATGTTCCTGAGTTTTCTCAAGGCAGTTAAGAAGATGCTCCTCCTGCCCCACTGGGAAGAAGTCAGGAATGAAGTAGAGAAAGCAAGACAGAAAAGTGATACCATATTTGGGGCTGGAGAGATGGCTCAGCAGTTAAGAGCTCTGATTGCTCTTGTAGATGACCCAGGTTCGACTCCCAGTACCCACATGGTGGCTACAAACCATCCTTAACTCCAGTTCCAGGGGAATCCAAAGCTCTCTTTTGACCTCTGTGGCAGTGCACAATATGGGTGCACTCACATACAAGCAAGTAATACACTCATACACATAAAATGAAAATAAATAAAAATATTTTAAAAAGTGATACCATATAAAGCTGATTAGCTACATGTTACTAACAACAATCATTTTCCTGTTAGTAGTTCTGAGACTTCTGCAAAGTTTAGTTTAAATGTTCCCATCTATCTGGTGGAATATTAAGATTGTTGACATAGAAAATGGAAAAATGCTCATGAAATACTGAAACGTAAAATGAATGCACTGTTAATTTGACTTGTATTAAAAAAAACTCTTTTATACAGAACACTGAAGCCTCTTCAACTTACAAAAAAGCTTCCAGAACTCTCAATCCCAAACCCTGCAAACACATCCTGTGCTTTTCCCCTTGGATGTGTCTCCTGGTGTCCTCTCTTTTGCCTAGAATGCTTTCTGTTCCTTTTCCTAACTAAAAGTTTTAGCGAACTTGGTCTAATCATTTCTAAAATTCTAGGGGCTGGAAAGATGGCTCAATGGTTAAGAGCATTGGCTGCTCTTGCAGAAGACCCAGCACCCATATGGTGGCTAACAACCATCTGTAACTCCAGTTCCAGGGGATTCAACACTCTCTTCTGGCCTTTACAGGCTTTGTATGATATAGGTGCACTGACATACATACAGGCAATACACTCATACACATAAAATAAAAATAATGATATTTTTTGAAGCTTTAGGACAATTTTATTAGAATCTTAAAGAAAAATCCTCAGGGCAGGTGAGTTGGTAATCTTGGCAGCTGCCTTGAGGAGGAGAATGGAGGAAACGAAAGCAAGCCATGGAGCCATGCAGATTTAGAGCCTGCATGGAGGTCAGACACATGGTTGACTGGCAGCCACATGGCTGGGAGAAGGAAGCTTTAGAGAAAAAGTAAAGAAACACAAGACGCTAGGGGCAGCCTAAAGCATTAAAGAAAGCATGTTTTGAAAAGGGATATGACAAAGAAAGGAGAGATTACGCTTTTCTGAACAATTCAGAAAAGCTGGAAGACTTACAGAGACCTACATGTCTGTGGCTGGGTCTAGAAGCTCTGCCAAAAATAATAAAAATTTTAAAGTTAGAAACATTCTGGAGAGCCTTCTGGCCAAGCTGTGCCTCTCTTCCCTGTACAGACCCGCAGCACTGCTTACTCTACTACTAATCTTGTAATAACATGCACTAACTCAGGGCGAATCTTAGAGTAAGTTCTCGTGTTTCTCAGCTCTTCCTGTGCATCTTTTCTTATGCGTTCTTTTCTCTACTAGTAGTAGGTTATTTGTGGGTGGGGGCCAAATCTTGAGACTCCTCTGACTCTCCAAACTTAGTAGAATGCCATGGCCTGGAAAGGCATGTAGTATACTGATGGCAAAGCTTAAATAAAATGGTTAAAGCAGAAACTATGACATTTTCCTGTTTTAAAGGGAAGACTGGAGAATTAAGGATTTTTAAAACTTTGTTTTTGTTCTATGCAAAATATTAAATCCATAAACTGTTTATTCCCAGTTTTAAAGGTGGAAAGTACCTCCATTTATTTTTCTCATAGGATAAGCAATGGAAACTCTTGATAATATTGGTTCAGGGAAGACTCTGCCTGAGAGGAATATCCCCAAGTAACCAAGGAGCTGGACTGGATATGAGGGAGATACATGATTAGTTTTTTCTTGTGCGGAAGGAAATGGCTGGCGAATTTTAAGATGTCGGAAGGAAATCTGGTATTAGTTTCTTCCTTATATTATTTCTATAGTTTAATCTTCTCCCCATCAAGAACAGAGGAGAGCAGGAGGTGCACAAGTCAAAATGAGGCAGAAGAGTCACAAGTTAGCGAGAGTCCCAAGAGGCAGGAGAGAAGAGAGAACACTTACAAGTGTCTCAAGAAGCCTTAGAATACAGGGAAGGAAATGCTGGGATGGTACTGAAGTTATTTCAGTGGGGCATTTCTAAAAAGGTTGAAGGATAGATGACTACTTAGCTCACATAATGCTTCTTGAAAAAGGAGTCTATAGTAAAAGTAGTTTGAGAAATTGTACAGTAGAGTGTCCTCTATGAATCTCTACAGTAGAGAGTCACAATGGTTATGTCAGCAAACCTGTAACTTTGAGACATCTTTGAAATTAAAGAACAGGACTTATAAACCTCCTTAAAATACATCAGTCGAGTTTTCTACAATTATTATGACTGGACTTTCCAGTTTTCTCATATTTAATAACAGAAAATACAAGTAGTATTTTATGGAAATTACTTTGAGAATTATTGGCTGATTTTGATTAGAACCTTAAAGAATTAAGACAGGGAGAAAAGAATTTTATGCCAGCCTAGGAGGAATGGCATGCAGTCACACAGAAAAAATAAGGGAAACTGACAGGTAGTATGTCAGACTTCAGAACTTATTTCAACTATGAATATTTTAAAATAATGTAAAAATATTTAAAAATTCACGTCAATTTCCTAACAATTCTCTAATGAGAATTCCTTTGAGGAATCACCAGTTACTTTTATATGGAGGAATATTCCAAATGCTGACCTAGATTACTTACATAGAAAATAAAAAGAATGACTAAACTTGTTGCCCAAGTACCAATTTGGCATATGTGTCTGGAAGGCTACCAATTCCTGGAAGGACTGATGTATTTATGCGGCTGCTACCTCCAGCATGTTCAACTCGAAAACGGCTCCAGACTGAGGAGACAAAAGCTGTACTAAATAAAGATTGCAGCACGGCACTGCGTCAGGCCGTATGCTCTTCAGATGCTAATCTGAAAGTGAGCCAGCAAAACGGACAATTGGAATCAACATGACATGTTCCTTGTGAACTACCCGGAAGGGTAGGAAATAGAGTTCAAGTTGGCAAGCGACTGGGAGGGAATTCTTAGTCATCAAAACTTCAACTATCAATCACACATGACACTGACTAAAACTCCCCTGAAACAAAGAAAAACATAACAAAAACTAGTAGTTTGGTTCACACACACACACACACACACACACACACACAGTTCTCTACGGCCAGAAAAAGAAATAAATTCCTAAAAATAGTGCTTTGTGCAATTATCTGGAGTTTGTTTACTCTTTTAAAAAATACTTTGTATTGCCTGCATGTAGTGAATACACCTGTGTCGTGCAATGCTGCGGAGGTCAGAAGAGGGCTTTGGATACCCCTAGAACTGGATGGAGTTAAGGATGTTCATAGCCACCATGTGGGTGCTGGGAATCGAACCCAGGTCCTCTGCAAGAGCAGTCAGTGCTCTTAATCACTGAGCCATCTCTCTCCAGCCCCAGAGTTTGCTCTCTTTTAAAAAAATGTATCAGATTAATATTATTCTATGAATAGAATATATTCCTCCATACCCCTCCAATATATTTCACAAATTTTAAAGAAAAAAGACCAGTTTTACTATTCCAAGCATCACCACATTTACTAATTTTCAAAACAAAACTTTATGACTGGAAAAGAAATAAACTGGCTCACACCTCAGTACTCAAAAAACATGAAAAACCTTAACTCTCAATTTTCTCTGTATAAAATCACTTGTTACCACCAGAGCAGTTCCAAAAGCATGCCTATGTGGAGTTTTGTTTGTTTTGGAGATACTGAAGTATAAACTGCTGAGCATACCAGTCAGAATCCCAAGAGACAAAGACAGCTGCCACTCTATTTCTGAACATACTCCAGGGATCTTAACTGCCATGTTATGA